TATTTAACTAACACTATAAACACTATAACACTATAACACTATTAACTTAACACTATAACACTATATTAACACTATTTAACTTTAAACTACTATTATTTAACTATTAACACTATAACACTATTTAACTATTAACACTATAACACTATTATATTTACCTGTGAGGCTCCAAGTTCAGATTTGCCGCAAACTAATGAAAACCAGCCTCTTACCTTCTCCAGAGACTGAAGCAGAATGTTTCCTCTGTCCACTGTCCCACTGGTTCTGTTTCCAAAAGTCTATTGTCCAATATGAAGAGATGAAACTGGTCCAAATCCTGGTCCAGTCTGGTCCGTGACGCGAGGTCCGGGAGCCGAGTGCACAAGATGGTTGTAAAATGAGTCTTAATCCCACTTCCCACTTCAATCTGAAAGTTACAGTCAGTCCATATCAGCACCAGGTAGAATTATGCCTCTGCGCGCTATGCTCAGGTCAAACTTTTACACCCAGAAACGAGCGGGCAAAGGCGGATAGAGCAGCGAGCGACTGCCCTGGCCCCGGCGGCGACAGCCCCGAGTCCGGGCGGCGACAGTCCCGGGTCCCGGCGGCGACAGTCCCGGGTCCCGGCGGCGACAGTCCCGGGTCCCAGCGGCGACAGTCCCGGGTCCCGGCGGCGGGTCTGTCAGGTCGGGTCTTTGACTCTGTTCTCGCCATTTCCTGTGTGGAGCTTTAGGCTAAAGTAGCAGCTGCCGCTAATCGTGGAGCTGCTACGAGTTGACGCAGCAGGTTGACGTGACGTGACGTGAGTGACAGGACAGTTGTCCAATCACATTACACTAAATAAACAGAGACTGTGATGTCATTGATGTCACAGTAAAGTTTGTGCCCTCAGCCCGAAATGAAATGCGCCAATCAAAATCATTTTAAAATAGTAATAATAACGGCCTGTTGGGGCGCGGGGCACCAGTGGCCGCTAGGGGGGGCACGGCCCTCAAATGCCCCACCTTGCCGCCGACACAGTTAATTGTCCGTAACAACCCCAAACTTACCTGGTTTTCTTGCGCAGCTAATTAACTGACAATGTTTTCCGACTAGGCTATTTTTGAACCTTCTTGCCTTCATGTTGGATGTTGTTACATTCTGAACATTCTGCCATTGCCCGATGTTATTTCAAAGTCATAGCCTCACTCCATCGGTCTTTCTTTAAGTTTTAAATACCCCGAGTGGCAGTCTACGCTATAATGTCTGCGTGTTTTAAAATATATGATATCGAAACAAAAAAAAAAAAAAAAGCATAACTAAATAAATATGGCCCTATAGCCACTTACGTGTTGGCAAACAGCTGAAATAAATTAGAAATAATAAAATAAACTGCATATAATATGTGCCTCGTAAACCTTAGGCATCAATAACCCGACACAACCTGAACCTTCAGAACATAAAAACGAGGTCAAATGGGCTAATTAAGGATATGACGTACACTTCATACTACAAGCATAGACAATGAGACTCGTCTTTTCAGATGTAGGTAACAATACTAACTTTTTTTTTTTTAGTAGTTAACCCGCCACCCGCCCGAATTTAATTAAAATATAATTTTTCGTCACGTCATCCGCCCGACCCGCGGATTAACCGCGGATACCGCGGTTGTAACCGCAATCCGCGCATCTCTAGTGCAGACTACAAGAAGAAATAGCAGTTCTAACACTTTCAAGTCTTAGTTCTTTGGTTTAAGTCCTGTCAAGGCATTTTAAGAGGAAAAAGTAACAGTTTTAGCTGTTTAACCTCCACAAAATATCACAATAAATATTGTATCGTGAGATGTATATCGTGAAAATATCGTACCGAGAGATTTGGATATTGTTACATCCCTAACAATGAGCTTTCCCACAATATCGCAGTAAATATCGTACCGTGGGGTTCACACCGTGAGGATATTGTATCGTGAGACTTGGATATCGTTACACTCCTAGAAATTATACAAAATATGTCTTAACATTTCAGCCTGTGTCAGAACTGTATACTGCAGACCTACATGCAGATCGTGACAAGGCGATCCCAAAAAAAATCTCTTGCGACCCACCTGAAGATCGCGACCCAGTGTTTGGGAAACGATGCTGTATTCATGTTGACTAGTAGTAGGTTCACATTATTGGTGTCACATGATTTTATTATTAAAAGGCACTTAAAGGCACCTACTGAGAATATGCCTATGATGTGGCAGTCACGTGATTTAATGTTTTGGACAAGGACAAGACTGCACAGTAAAAAGTGGACTGATAAAATTGACTCTCACAGAATCAGTTTTAACATTTTCTCAGAGTTTATATGAGTCCAATCTGTTCTAGAGTTAATTTAACATTTTTAGAAATATTAATCAAGTAACACTGGACCAAAGTTTCAGTTTAATCCCAAAATCAAGAGTTATATTAACGTTTTGATAGAACACAGATAACACTTTGTAGGGTTATCCTGATTCAGCTAAACAACACACAGAGGTGTTTTATTTTTACTCTTTATTTTAATTAATTTAAGATGAAATTATATACAAAACTGGTTCAAACTTGTCTTCTCTCACGGGCGTTTGAAGTGGTGAGTGGGAAGGAGCCAAATTAACACTAAGAGAGGTTAAATGAACACTAGGGGAAGTTGAATTCATTTCAACCATATCAACTCTGGCAAATAATCCCAACTCAAACCCCCATTTAACTTTCAAACTGTTAAAATAAAGTGTTTTTTTTTTAGTTAAAAACAACACTGAAATATTTTACGCTGAAATTGTAACCCTCCAGTTTGTGCTGTGTGGGGTTGATGCGGATAGTGTTATTCAGTTTACAGTATAATCATGGCGACTTTAAACAGCGCAAACCACATAAAACTGTCCAAAATTGCCAGCTTGTTAGATCAGCTGTCATTAGAAAGGCATAAAGATAAAGTCATCCTCCTGGGTTGTGGAATAGATCCTGATCTAATTCCGACAGAGCACTTTGTTAATTTAATCAAAGCTCACTCTGTGCCCAACCTCCAGTGTTAGATCTTCTGTCACAGGAAAGTGAACGTTTTGCTTTGTCTTTCACTGGTGATGGGGTGTACGTGAAAAATGATGGGATGTAATCTGGTGAAGTGGGTTATCATTCTTCATACCTATGAGAAAAAAATACTTTTGGTATCTATCATTTTATTTACATTTTCATTTCAAATCCCTTGTTTGTTTGTGTAGAGGTGTTCCATCACTTGAAATGAAATGTTACCTGCACAGACTGTACTCAGTGGGCTCCATCCCCTCTCTTTTTATGCCCGCTATCCACCTCTGTCTACGATCTTTATCAGTTGGGATCAAATAGAAAGATTGGCCTCCTTCTTTAGCAGATTGACTAAATGTTATCGCATGCAAATACTACACTTTGGTCCAGATGGATAGTTTGACCTCCAATATGGCGGCATAAACACCAGGTCACGTGGTTTTGAGGTCAAAACATGTAAGTGTCCTGTTTGGCAATGAAGAACTTTTATGTAATTGGTCAGTGTACCTAGGATCCTTCTGCCGATCATTACAACTTTTACAAGGAAAGTTTTGTTTCTTAGTAAATGTTCATATCGTCAAAGAGCACCTGGTGATTTTACAGTTTTGAACACAATTCTTGACTCAGTGACGCATTCACTTTTTATTTCCCTTCTACAAATCCAGGTATGTTTTTGATGAAGAAACAACATTATAACATAGATCAGAAAATAGCCTAAGAAGGACAGGTCCTTTAATTAATGAACTTATCTGATTTACTCCCATTTATTTGGTGCAAAATACTCTACATCAGGGATGTCAAACTCAAATTCACAGAGGCCAAAATAAAAAACTGGGACTAAGTTGTGGGCCAAACTAAATATTTATTGAAAAATTTTAACAACATCTGCACTCTCTTCTTTTGGGATATGCAATGTTAAACCTTTTCTTATTAAAATAAATGTTTAATAATAGTTTTGCTGAAACACTGAATCCAGAACAAGCAAAATATAAAATAATAACAACATTTTAAATAAATAATGTCTCTGTAACCTATGTGTAGCCGGCGGACCAGTTCTACTAAATATTTGATAAGATCTCATGGGCCAAATATAAGCCTGAGTTTGACATGTGTGCTCTACATGAACTGTAATCAAGCAATCATTATGCAAAACATCTTAATTTTTTTTCAGTAGAAACATAAGTATTTATAAAGAGCTGCAGAAGCATCGGTTAACTTGTAATGTGTTTCAATGTCCACAAGATGGCGGTAGAGTCTAGAATTTGAAGTGGATACAACAGATTTACTCGAGTCTGTTTGGGTTGTGTGTGGATAGTGATTGTAGAGATAATAGCATCTTTAAAGTTTCCATGTGCTTGACTCTTTGAGGACTGAACCCGAATGCCAAGGGTGTTAAAGTTGACTCTATTGCACAAGTTGCGCAGGTGGACTGTATTTAATTTCCATTCACGTGTATAACCTGACTTCTGTAGCCTATGTGGCATGAATACTGCCCCCTACAAAGTGCGGGGGTACAGGGAAAGCGTCATTCTTCAAAGTCTTAGGAGTCAGAAGTTTTATGCGCAGTGTTATTTTTCTTATATCAGGCACAGAACACATAAGATGGATTAAGTAAACTATGTAAAACTGGTGGTGGGTCTAATGTGTGACTGTGCTAAGTAGTGAACTGTCTATTTGCTAAAATGAAAATCAGACAGAAGGGCACGCGTAAACTGTGCGTAATTGCAGCCTATAATTCACTGCGTTATGGTTCAGGTTTGGTGCGTAAAGTCCACTCTATAGCCATAGTTTTTGGTATGTTGTATTTCTGTGGGTAAAAAAAAAAAAGTTCAGTTCGTTCCCTCGCCCGCTCAGTCCAAGATCAAGAATGAAAACAACTTTCAGGAGTGGAGTTGAAGCCGCTTATTGGCGCGGCTTGTGCGTCAGTCAGAGAGGGGGCGGGACCTGCGGCCGAATGATAGTTCCAGTAAGTGGTGCTCACATGCTGTACACCAGAGTCAACAGGCAGAACAGTGTCACACACGCACACGGCCGCTCCGAAGTGCACCGACACTCTACACGACTGAAGGACACAAACAAGCAGCGACACCGGCTCAAAGTCACTTCTGTCCCCGCGGGTCACAGTCACTGCGCGGGATGTAACTATCCGGACCATCCGCTCCGGTACATCGCTTTTTTCCATTCGCTGACTTATTGTTTTCTGCCGGTGGACTTTCCTCAGAGGAAGCGGATTTTTGAGAGACAGTTGGTCACGTTGACACTTGGACACTCGGCTCCGTCACTTCTGGACCATGGCGGAAGCGGTCCCGCAGCAGCCACACTTGGTGGAGATCGACCCAGAGTTTGAGCCTCTTTCCCGGCCGCGCTCATGCACTTGGCCACTGCCCCGACCGGAGTTTCTGACTCCAGGGGACTCTAACACGTCCTCCCCGGTGCCGTCCGTAAAACAGGAGCCCACCGGGAACGACTTCATCAACAACCTGAGCCTGCTGGAGGAGAGCGAGGACTTCCCCGAGCAGGAGACCGGGCTGCTGTGCTCGGACTACTGCCAGGAGAGCCCACACCAGCCCCCGCCTCACCAGCAGCATCACCTCCATCAGCACCAGAGCCCCCAGCTGCCCCAGCCGCAGGTGCCCCTCCTCTCCCCGGCAGGGAGCTCCTCCAGCGCCGCCGCGGCCGCTGCTGCCGCCGCTGCCCAGAGGAAGAGCAGCTCGTCCCGCAGGAACGCGTGGGGGAACATGTCATATGCAGACCTCATCACCAAAGCCATAGAGAGCTCCCCCGAGAACCGGCTCACTCTGTCCCAGATCTATGACTGGATGGTGAAGAGCGTCCCTTACTTTAAGGACAAAGGGGACAGCAACAGCTCCGCGGGCTGGAAGGTACGTCTCTGTTCGCTCTGTGAAACTCTGCGTGGAGGGTGCGTACTGTGCGCGAGTGTGCGTGAGAGCTCGTGCACGCAGAGGCCACAGGGAGCTGAGTGTGCGTGCGCGTGCGTGTGTGTTACTGTAACGTGCTGCAGGCTCTGGCTTTGGTCTGTCACTCTCTGTGCCTTTCATGTTTTATTTGGGAGCTCTTTATCACAGTCTGTTCATTAGGTCATGATTAGACCCGGTGTCACCCCGGGATTAGACTGGAGTCTCCGCTCGAGTCCTGTCAGGAGAACAACACAATGCTCTGTTTGTGTGTGCACGTGTTCAGACCTCTGCATATGTCCTTGTATGAAATGCGTTTCACAGCGCGATACATGACCCCGTTATTACCGGGACCACGGATCACACTTTTATTGCAGGTCACTCCAGGTCTTCTGATCTGGTCATCTGACTCTATACATACAACATTATGCATCAATATCATACATTTTCCCACACATTATGCACAACGACATGACACGATACTTTTTTAAAAAAAATTTTTTTAAATTTTAAACACTTTTTCTAGCAATATCTCTCCAGGTCATATTTTACCCAAATCTGTTTTTTATTTTAAAGTTACGATTTCCAAAACAAAAGCAGCATTTGCCTACTCAACTAATTCAATATAATTACTAACCACTTAATTAACCAAATGTCCTCATTATCCTGATTAGCACCAGCTTTGTAAACTACTTGGACATAAAAGAGTGAAAGATGGTGTAGCTGCACATGACGGTGACAGTGTGCAGTGTGTGTGTATCTGCAGACGTCTGTATCTGTAGACGTCTGGTTGCTTGTGTTGGACCGAGAGCGAGTGACCAGTGGTGTGACCTAAGCATCATCTGACCACGGCCTGCTGGATGTGATTTGAACAGGTCAGGTGACTCTAGCTCCGCCCCCTGCTCCTTCTGTTAACTGGATATAAGACTCCAGGTTTGGGCTATTCAGGTCAGTGAGGGACAGATGAGTGGATGGAATAAGTTTTGGGTAAAGATGGTGAAGGTTTAAAGGTTGAATATTACACAAAATTGACTCTTGTGAGCTTTAATTTATGTTAGAACGCTGTTACGTCGTCCAAAACAAACCTAGAGTTGTGTTTTAGTTCATTTATTATTAGCCTGTCTACATCTCCAGAGCTTGAAATGCTTCTCGGTTTGGTCACTGGTTTGGACTTGTGGTAGTGCAGATTGTGTAAAAGGCTGTTAGTGTGTTATTTGGCAAGACATTTCATCACTTGCTTGTATGAAGAAGAAGTGGTTAGTATGGGTGGGTTTCCTCTGGGCGCCCCGGCTTCCCCCCCCATCAAATCAAAACATGCACAATGGTTCAAATCCTGCAGCTGAGGTAGTCCGGACCAAGGCTAGGCCAAGATCTCGAGATGGGTAACAGGACGCCGGTGGTCCCAGTGACGCTTAAGGACGGGTCAAATGCAGAGGGTGAACTTCTCTAAGGGGAATAATAATGCATTTTTAATTTGAAATTACAGATTGGGAATAAGATCTAATGAGTAGTGTTGTTACAATACTAAAATTTCAAACTTGATTTCTATACTAAGGAATAGACTCGATACTCAATACCCATTCAGACAATAATAATAGAAACACTCAATCTTTTTTTTTTTTTATTTTATTACTTGTTTGTGCAGATAAAGCAGATGTCACAGAAAGAAAAAAAAAAAAAAAAGAGCAGTGATGTAATGTGACCATTTCCCCTCCCATTACCCTCCCCCACTGTCTCCAGAGAAAGGAAAAAATAAATAAATAGAAATAATTATAATAAATAATAAATAATAAATAAATAAATAAATAATAATAATAATAATAATAATAATAATAATAATACATAAATAAACAATAATCAATATTAATAAATAAATGATAAACAACAATAATAAATAGAAATAAATATAATAATACATAAACCATTATTTAAATAAATACTACTACTACTACTGTTAATAATAATAATAATAATAATAATAATACATACATACATACAAATTATAATACATTTATGCAGTGACAGGTAAATAAAGTAAGTAAATAACTAACCCTAGGGAACAGAGGGAAGTAAAAATAAATAAATAATATGAGGGAAAAAAAGGAAAAGAATATCAATCTTATAATATATACCCATGCATACACCCAATATATATCCATATAAAAACACTCAATTTCAACCTTAAAGGGACAGTCTGGAATTAAGGACATAGGACCTCATTAAAGGGACAGTCTGGAATTAAGGACATAGGACCTCATTTCCTAGTGATCCAGAGTGTTGGAGACGTGTGGAGACACTTTTTAAAATATTTCATCTAGTCCTTGTATTTGCAGAGGTCGCTGGTGCTAGGCTAGTGCATGTCAATGGCCATAGTTATCCTGCCACTAAAAACCTTCTTACCCACTCCACAAAACACCCGAAGCAAATCTATTATTACACCAGACTGTCGATGTGAATGTCTGTGTTGATCGAGTCATTTTAGAAGTAAAACCACATTGCATTTGAAGGATTTATGTCTGAGCAGCAGCAGTGAGTTGTACTTCCTGATAGAAAGCTCGGCAGCGGCGGACTGATATATGAGAAAATAGTCCCTCAACATGCGCCGATTCATGTGATGCAAGTTTAGTTTTATTTCAAACATTATTCTATCAACACAGACATTTACATTGGCAGTCTGGAGTAATAATAGATTTGCTTTGGGTGTTTTTGTGGAGTGGATAAGTCTGTTTTTAGTGGCAGGATAACTATGGCCATTGACATGCACTAGCCTAGCACCAGCGACCTCTGCAAATACAAGGACTGGATGGAATATTTAAAAAAGTGTCTCCACACGTCTCCAACACTCTGGCTCACTAGGAAATGAGGTCCTACGTCCAAAATTCTGAACTGTCCCTTTAAATCACAGCATTTTCTTTTATATTACCATCTGGTTTTATATCTGTGTAATCCCTCAGTGGTTTTTGATTCGAGTGTCCATAAACGTGCGTGTATAAAATCTGAGACGTACCGGAATAGTTTGTTAAATAGAAGTGGAGGTCTCGCCCACACTTGCGCTGAGAGGACATGTTGCTTTTTCCATTGTGACGGGGAGGTGACTGCGCTCATGTTTGGAACTGGAATTCCTCTCCTTTGTGTACGGAAACGCACAGATACCAAAAGCATTCATGTTTCCTGAAGAGCGTCCAAAACATTACGCAAGAGCCGGCTGGGAAGGCGAAGTTGTGCTCTCTCTCTCTCTCTCTCTCCTGGTCTCTCTCTGGTTAACTCTGTCTCTCTGTTTCTCTCTCTCTGTCTCTATTTCTTTTTTCTGTTTCTATCGCTCCCTCTCTCTGGTTAACTCTGTCTCTCTCTTTTTCTCTTGCTTTCTGTCTGTTTCTTTCCCTGTTTCTCTCTCTCTCGCCATCTCTCTGGTTAACTCTGTCTCTCTCGTTCTCTCTCTCTATTACTTTCTCTGTTTCTATCTCTTTTTCTGTCTTTCTCTATCATTTTCTCTTATTCTCACTCTCTCTTTCAGTCTTTCTGTCTGTCTCTTATTCTCCCTCACTCTCGCACTCACACTCTCTCTCTTTCTGTCTCTCTCTCTATCTGTCTCTCTTATTCTCTCTCTCTTTCTATCTGTCTGTCTCTTTTTCTTTCCCACGCTCTCTCTCACTCTCTCTCACAGTCTCTCTCTTTCTCTTTCTATCTGTCTGTCTCTTATTCTCTCTCTCACTCTCTCTCTCTCTCTCTCTCTTTCTCTCTCTCTCTATCTGTCTCTCTTATTCTCTCTCTCTTTCTATCTGTCTGTCTCTTTTTCTTTCCCACGCTCTCTCTCACTCTCTCTCACAGTCTCTCTCTTTCTCTTTCTATCTGTCTGTCTCTTATCTCTCACTCTCACTCTCTCTCTCTCTTTCTCTCTCTTTCTATCTGTCTCTCTTATTCTCTCTCATTCTCTCTCTCTTTCTGTCTCTTTTTATCTGTCTGTCTCTTATTCTTTCCCACGCTCTCTCTCTCTTACACACTTTCTTTCTCTCTTTCTATCTGTCTGTCTCTTAATCTCCCTCCCTCACTCTCTCACTCACACTCTCTCTTTCTGTCTCTCTATCTGTCTCTCTTATTCTCTCTCTCTCTCTTTCTTTCTCTTTCTTTCAATCTGTTTGTCTCTTATTCTCTCTCACTCTCTCACTCTCTGTCTTTCTGTCTGTCTGTCTCTCTCTCTCTTTCTGTTTGTCTCTTATTCTTTCCCACGCTCTCTCTCAGTCTCTCACAGTCTCTCTTTCTCTCTCTTTCTATCTGTCTTTCTCTTATTCTCTCTCTCGCTCTCTTTCTCACACACTCTCTCTCTCTTTCTCTCTCTTTCTATCTGTCTGTCTCTTACTCTCTCTCACTCTCTGTCTTTCTCTCACTCTCTCTGTCGCTTCTCTCCTTTCTTACTCTCCGCCCCCTTCCTCCCTCAGCCCCCTCCTCTGCCCCTCTCTCACTTTCTCTTCTGTTCTCTCTTCGTCTCTTACACTCTCCTTCTCCCCTCTCTCTCTCCGTCTCTTTCTGTCTCTCTCCCTCCCCCTTTCTTCCTCCTCTCTCTCCGTCTGGGCGTGTGTGTGTGTCTCTCTCTCTGTCTGCGTAGCGTCTGATGACAGAGTGAATAGAGACACACACAGATTTATGGGGCTTTATTCTCGTTCGGAGCCTGTGGACTTCACAAACAAACTGTGACAGGAGAGATGCTGCTCACACTTTTCTCTGGGTCCAACTTTAAACTTTATTAATCAGCAGAGGAAAAGCTCTACTACTTTTATGTTCTTATGTTTTTGTTATGTTATTTGTTATGATTTTGTTATGATTTGTTTTGTTTGTTTTGTTTTATTATGTTATTTATTTTTTTATGTATTGTTTCTTCTTCTTTGTCATCATCTTCATCTTCTTCTTTTTTTTTTTCATGTATAATGCACAGTTTGCATTCACATGGTTGGCAGCGAAAACACAAATTT